CCCTCCCCCCCGCCAGCCCAGCCCTGATCTGGCCCAATCATGGCCAGCCAGCTGGCCAACCTCACACCGTCTCCTCCTCCTGATAGGCCTGGCCCCCATCTGCCTCATCTGGGGCCAGGCCAGCCGGACCCCACCCATGCACAAATTCATGCACTTGGCCTCTAGTCTAATTATAATGAAGTACAGCACACCTCAGCTGCATAAGGAAGGGAATGAAATGAGGGTACTAATGTATGTCAAACAAAGGCACATGGCAGTGGGTTTAATGTCACAAGGAAAGGGCTCTTGAACAAGTGAGCTGGAAAGACACTTCAGCTCATGATTTGAAAGTTGATGGTGAGGACAATGTCAAAGTTATTACTGTGTCAATAAGTAGTAAGGTAGAAAAAAAGCGTACTTAAAAAAGTAACAACACCAACTAACATTTAGGTATTTAGATGTCAGATATTTTCCTAGAGGTGCCTTGAAGATGAGTTGAAGAGTAAGAGTCTGAACATGCACACAGACAATGACTAGATCATACATAAAAATAAAATTCTGACTACAATCTGCAGTGAATAGTCCAAGAAACCAGCCCATCATCAGGAGCAACCAGTCCAGGATGACCAAACAATAGCCCCATAAATAATCAGCATAACATAACCAGTACTTAGGTAATAACTGTCAGTTTCCCTAGTTCTTCTCTCCCTTCCTCCTTCTCTCCCTCCCTTCTTTTCTTTCTTCCTTCTTTCCCTCTCCTTTCTTCTATCCCCAATACTCTTTATCTAAAACTTCTTAATGGCAGGTTTAATTATCTTTAGTTCAGAGGTAGAAAAATTGACTTGCCCTGACTGGGTCACTCAGTTGGTTGGAGTGTCGTCCCATTCATCCAAAGGTTGTGGGTTCAATTTCCAGTAAGGGCACATATACAGATTGCCGGTTTGATCCCTGGTTGGGGCACATATGGGAAGAAACCGACTGATGTTTCTCTGTCACATTCATCTCTCTCTCTCTCTCTCTCTCTTCTGCCCCTCTCTCTAAAATCAATAATAATAATAATAATAATAGTAATAAATCTCCTCAGGTGAGGATAAAAAAAGAAAAATTGACTTACAGCAATTTTGACTCACATAATTACTTAGTAATAGTAACAAGGAAGAGATGGAAGAGAAAAGCATACTTTCAAAATTCTATGCCTCTGGCAAAATAAAATGTAAACTGAATAACTTCATTTTGGGGTTATATTTAGATGTAGGGTCAGCTGTGGTGATTAATACTGTGAGAAAGATGCTATAATAATCAGGATTTCTCTCTACCCAAATCCATTAAAAGGAACTCACAGAAAGATTTTTAGTTATTTGGCTAATCACAATTTTGATGGGATTCCATTGGCTTTTTTATATTACCATTTGGCCTTTTTAATACTTTAGCATACTATCCCAGAAGTATAAACAGACAGCCACAAATTTAACAAAGGTGATAGCCTAAAGATTAACAGCAACTGACATTAATTATTTAATTTTATAGACAAACTTGGAATCTTGTGTTCACTTATAAGAAATTAGGTTTTGTTTCTCCAGAATTTTACCAATGACTGAGAGACAGGGAGGTTTATCAGTATCTTACCATACACTTTCCTATTTTGTCTTCAGAGTTCATCAATTCTAGTATGTAAATTTTAATGTGAAGCAAAAATAAGGCACACCATGTGAGCAATACTTTGGGGTTCCAGAGTTGCTAATTGGGTATAGTTATTAATTGGGGGAGAGAATACACATTAACTAGGAAGAGAAGGCTGTGCACACAGCCAAACAAGTGTCATAGGTCACTCTCCCAGTCACAGCAGGCAGGGGCCACGGTGACAGTCCACTCTCCCTTCTAAATAGTCTATCTTTTCTTCCTCGAGATTTCTTTCCTTCCTGCTTTTCTCAGTTGGGGAAGGTTTTATTTTGAGTAATGATTATCTTTCTCACTTGTTTTTGCCTTTTCTTTTCCCACTTCTCCAAATGGCTTTATCTGCCAGTCACAATTTTTGTGGTCTGCAATTCTGATCACTTTTAAATGAAACCCATGCTGGCTTTGGTAATCATAATGTCATTTACAATTTACCACTAAACACGTTTATTCAGTTAGTAGCACACTGGAGAAAGAGAACTCCATATGAACTCACCGTGAAAAGCCTAATCTGATTATTTCCTCATGAAAATCCAGGCAGGGGTGCTTGTAAGAGGGGCTGAGAGAAGAAGGGGGGTGGGGGGAAGGA